ACGATGTGGTCAGAAGTCAATGGCTCTTGCTGCGGGGGTAGAGATTACCCTGCTTCCCCTGGTTCTGTTGCCGAAATAGATATAGAAGTAATGAAAAAAGTAAAGAAAAAAAACTTTTCAAAATAAGCAAGTTTTCTTTGAGACATTAAAGTTAAATTCTACGTACGAGTGAAAGTGCGGTGTAGGTGCCTAGTCCAGTCAGCTTTATTAAAAATTTGTGTACAGAATACCGGGATGAGCGTGAGCCCTATTTGCCCATAATCATTCTTTCTCCGTGTGATTTCGACTTCTTTTCTAGCAGAATTGAAGGCGTCATTGCCTAGAATAAATTTCGGTCATTTAGAGACTTTGCTAAGGCAATGGGACCTTTGATTAGAAGATTCTGTCTTGGAGAGGCTGGGTGTTTTGTATTTTACACATCCTTGGCAACCTGCGATGGAATGATTAGAATATTATTTCGAATCCATCGATACTATCCTTATGCTTAGGTGCAATGTGTGTAGTTTACATGTGATTTTAGAAATACACAGATTCATAGAGAACGATTAACCTTCGAGCGATCGCGCGGGCGGTGTAAATGCCGCCTTTGAAAGTAAAATGGCGCTGCGTGTTGATGTTTGAACTGAGCATCCCGACAAGCCAGGAATTCTCCAGTAATCTATTGAGACCTAAAATAGCGGTAACGTATTCTCCAACACCCACTCATCTTTGTGTTAAATTCGCACAAAAGTGGCCAACGTCATCAGTCTTCGCTCTATGTATCATAAACATTGCCACGCGATCGCGCAAACTCCAGTTTCTTTTCAAGACTGTGATGAATATGTAAAAACATTTTTCATATATTTTTGTACTAAAAATGTCATAATAATCCTCTTATTGTAATTATTGTGAAAATTAAAATGAATTTTTTATTCAGTAGTTCAATTTGTAGGTGATTTGAGTGGATTTTAGTAATCTAGATTCCTAATACTTATTATTCTCGTTTTATTATAATACATTGAGCTACCTACATATTCTCTCTCCCTCTCTTTACCATTTTCATTTGACATCTTGGTGAGGTTGAAGTAGATATCTGATTTTGCAGATGATCTCCAGAAATTTATTTTCTGGAGAGTAACTGAAATTATTTCAATATATTTTTAATTTACTACAGTGCCCACTTGATGTTATTTAATAAATTACCCATGAGTGACGATCAAAAGAAACTGTAATATTGACAAAAGGGAAGGATGCAAAAATACTTGCAAAAATATCGCCCCGCGATCGCGCCTGTGACACTAAATCGTACAAAGCCTGAAGGTTAATCGGATTATTTCTTATTTTGTCTTATCCTCTGTCTTGAAACAAATATGTGTATAATGAAAACTTCTTATATTTATTGTGAGTTTTCCATTGTACATTTGAAGTATTTTGAAGAATCCACATCGATCGTGGAAGAAATAGCAGTCCTGAATTTATCGGTAACCCTTCTATTATTAGATGTGAGGTTTTTATAATAATACAAGAACGTTGATTGTGTGTGTCTGAG